TCTCCTTCAGCGCTCAAAACTGACCTCAGAACAGCAACGTTATGTCTACGTTAAGTATTGGTGAACCACAAGGGTCATCAAGTTCACCGTTCGCCGACAGTCATGGGATGGTCAGTCTTCACTGCAGATGTGTTAGTTTCTGTTAGCCTGTTAGGTTAACACTACAGGCCCAAATTGTGTGTTCTAGCAAAAGTAAACTGACAGACTTTTTGTTCTTTCCCAACATCAGTCAGGATTCAGAAAACAACACAGCACAATAACTGCTGCTGTTAAAGTGGTTAATGACATCGTTGATTCAATGGACTGCAAAACCTCCTGTGCTGCTCTTTTTCTTGACTTGACCATGCTATTTTATTACATAGACTAAACAATATTGGTGTATCTGTAAATGCTGTAAGTTGGTTTTCAAATTACTTGTCAGCAAGAAACCAGTGTGTCCATGCTGCTGGGTCTTCTTCCTCTTTTCTCCCAGTATCCAAAGGAGCTCCGCAGGGCTCCATATTAGAGCCATTGCTATTTCCTCTTTACATAAACAACCTTTGTGATAATTTGTCAAATGCAGCATTTCATCTTTATGCAGATGATACAATTATTTATTGCTCATCTCCTTCAGTAGCACAAACCCTGCAGTTTCTGCAGTCTGCCTTTGATGTTGTTCAGTCCCATTTAACTCAACTTAAGTTGGTGTTAAATGCAGAGAGATCCAAGTTCATGTTATTCTCAAATGGCAAAGAGTTGTTAGCTACGTCTCCTAAGATTAAAACAATTCAAGGAACTGAAATTGAAATGGTCACATCCTACAAGTATCTAGGGATCATTATAGATCAGAATTTGTCATTTAAGACTCACATCCAAAGGCTTGTGTTGAAGTTAAAACTAAAACTAGGTTACTTTTTTAGAAACCAATCCTGTTTCTCCCTCCAAGTGAGAAAACATTTGATTCGTGCAACCTTTTTACCTTTATTGGATTATGGTGACCTGCTTTTTATGAATGCACCTGCCCACTACCTAAAGAGGTTGGATACTGTGGACCATTGTGCTTTACGTTTTATTACTGGCTATGGAAATCATGTACATCATTGCTCTTTGTCTGCTGCTGCTAAATGTCCATCTTTGCATATTCGCAGACTCTCCCATTGGTTGATCTTTATTTATAAATCTCTCCTTGGGCTGGTTCCATCTTATTTATGTGTTTATATGTGTAAAAACCACAACCAATACAGCCTTCATTCGCACAAAATCATACAATTGATTGTCCCAAAAATCAGAACAGTATTGGGGAAAAGGCTTTTAAATACGCTGCCACTGCTTCCTGGAATAATCTGCAGGAGGAACTGAAATTATCAGAACTGGTTACCTTGGGAGAGTTTAAGTCTGTCTTAAAGGAACGAGAGAACAGGGCCCTGTGCTTCGTACGTCGCTTACTACATCCAAGATCAAATGAAACATCCAAGACCAAATCATCGCGCTAACTCTGAGCTCGCTATTCCGGTTCCCCGAACACACCTGTTGTTGACGATTAGTATAGCTGGATGAAGTAATGTGAGATCACTGGGTGGCCCAACAGGGGCTACGCATCGATAGTAGAAACATTGATCGGCAACCCTTTGATTGGTCGGCGAAAATGTCGAAGGAGCGCGCTCGGTATTTTTCGGCAGCAGAGCAAGAACTCTTGATTGAGAGATTTCAGGAGTTTCAGAGTTTAATTAAAACGCAAGGGAACACTGCAAAGGCTGCAAAAGCAAGGAGAGAGGGCTGGCAGAAAGTTGCTGACAAATCAAACTCGTAAGTAATTCAATAATAACAATAATAATGGATTGGATTTATATAGCGCTTTTCAAGGCACCCAAAGCGCTTTACAATGCCACTATTCAGTCACTCTCACATTCACACACTGGTGGAGGCAGCTACGGTTGTAGCCACAGCTGCCCTGGGGCAGACTGACAGAAGCCAGGCTGCCATATTGCGCCATCGGCCCCTCTGGCCAACACCAGTAGGCGGTAGGGTAGATTTATCATATCACACCATATTATCCAATATTATATTACATTATATTATATTATAATATGTTATATTATATCCCCTTTCACATGAGAGCCACAACAGGACCCACTAGAACATGGGAACAAGTAAAAGTGAAATATAAGAATATTCTACAGAATGGTAATATTTATCACTTATATTGCTTGTCGTCTCTTGGAAAGAGACCCTGGAATAATCTGTTTGTTCATAACAGCAACCAAGAAAAGGGCAGAGCAAAAAAAAAGACAGTATGTATGTATGTATCTGTGTGAAATCAATAAAAGGATCAAGTGCTGCATTGTCTTTAGTTACATTGATGTTATTTATTTATGGTGAAACAGTGGTGGAATATCGCTGTTGCTTTCGTATAAATGAAGCGGACATACCTGCGTGGCCGCGATCTAATCCTGTTTACATAAAGTAAACCTGCTCCCGACCAGGTTTACGCTTACGGCTCTGTTGCTATGACAGCAAGTCCCGGATGGGCTTCGGGGAACCGAACGATCCAGGATCACGCGAAATCGTCAACAATCTCATCCAGCTAACTCACTTAGCGCGGTACGAAGAACAGGCCCCAGCTCTTTTACTCAGTGTGATTGTTTTTAATGTACTCTTAATTTGATCTGTTATTGTTTTACACATGTTGGTGTGGGATACTGTATTTGTTTTAAATCTTATATACCTATGTGGTATGTGACTTTTGTTGCCATGATGCCAGGTCTCTCTTGAAAATGAGATTTTTAATCTCAATGAGATTTTTTACCTGGATAAATAAAAGACTAATGATAATAATAGCTGCAGACGTCCTGTACAGGGGTAACTGTACGGGACAGCCTAGCTGTAACTGACTAGGTCTGCGGACAATCCTAACATCCTCTCATGATGCGACCAACTAGCAGCCCTCACAGTTAGCTGCAACCAACAGCCACGCTCGCCCCTGATCCTTGCACTTGATAAAATGGCTAGGTCATACTTTAGCGGTCAGGAAAAGAAGTCCTGGAGATCTGTTTACAGGATTAGAACAGCCAGGAACCATAAAAGATGCATACACGGTTTAATCTTTACCAGTTCACAGGATTAAAAAGGAAACGATTAAATGCAGGTAGGATTTTTTTTATTTAAACAATTTAGCAGGGACAAAGCAAATATCTGAACCAAATAATATGACTCATAAGATCAAATCACATAAATCCTATAAATTCTCAACTAACCAGTTCTGTGCTAATGCTTCTTGTCTACTACTGGACTTGAATTAGTTAGAGTTTACGCCCATGCCTGCAGCACAACAGTCTCCCGGTCGTGCCTGAAGAAGTGAAAACGTGGAAACAGAGACTCAGTACAAAGTCGAGCAACTTCATCAAGGCCTCATTCCAACACAGCAGGATGAGAAAAGACTTTTAGGTCGTAGGTTTATCTTCCAGGACTCCAGCTGTGAACTTTTCTTCAAGAACAACTCATTTTACACATAAACATCACAGCCACGCTGATCTCAAATGGACCTGACCAACGCAACTACGAGATAAAGGTGCAAACTTACAGTTCTAACAGTTCCGTCCTGTAACTGTAAAATATAAGCTTTCTGTTAATTCACAGAAAATGTGAATGACTGAAAAAACCTCTGTCATTATTGTAACTGAGTGATGGATGACTGATACCTCCTGTTCATGATGCTACTGCATTTCTCTCATTCAAAATCATTACTGATCATTTTCATTTATTCTCTTATAATTACCATGCTCACCTCATACGGCTGCATCCTGAGCCTTTTATGCAGACGGACTCAGGTGGATGAGGTTTATTTATATGTGTTTAATAAGTATTCATTTGTTTGGTGTTTGAAAATAGCCGTGTTAGTTATCTTATTATAAACAGTAAACATGAACAACAAGAACATGATGATAAATTTATATTTTTTACACATCAGCATAGTAAAAAGTGCCACAGTAATAAAACAACACATGTAAGATGTGTAGGCCTGTGCCACTGTACAGGCGTCCCCCTGACACCGAGTACCAGAGAAATACTTCCTTAGACACTTTAGTTTGTGAACTTATAGCCATAAATTACAGCTGAAAGATTAAGGTAAGGTATAAAACAAGTTTTCAGCAGGTCTTCAAAACCAAGCACCGATTCGGCCAACTTGATTGGCTGAAGAAACTTATTCCAAAGTGCGGCTGCCTCTTTTTAAAACAAGAGCGTCCAACAGTTAAAAAAGACTCAGAGCAGATGATCAGAGGAACTGAATGCTGGAGGAAGGTCTCAGTAGCTGATATATGTGGGAGCCGGTCATGTAGGGATTCATGTTATTAATTACATTTCACAATGAATTTCACTTGCAGCCGCTGAAGAGATAAAAGAATAGGCGTGTTGTGTAAGCAGCCTCTGGATGCCTGAGGAGGACTGATACATGTGCAAAGTGATTTTTGTAATGGTTCATGGATTCAAATTTCAAATGCTGTTCAAAAGTTCCAGATTCTTAGCAGATGCCTTTATAGTGGTGGGAAGAGCGCGATGTAATGGCTGACCATCATTAGAGAGCCTGGGAGCCACAGGAACCTCGGTTTTCTTGGATGGGATTTCGGGAGATTACTGGGCTGTTTTTCTGCTCCTCATGCCCACCCTACTCACTCTGTTTGGAACCGAAAGATCGAGCTGCTTCAGTGTCCCCAGGAGGCTGAGCCGCTACACGAATATGTGTCCTGCATGGATGCAACCCCAAAGCAGCAACAATAAGAAGATGATCTCTGACATATACAGATCTTATCTGATTCTGCGACCCCTCGGTTAATGCAGGACGCTTCATTATTTCATACAGGCAGAGATTTCCGGTTGAAATGTAGCTAATAACGCACAGCACACTACATGTTGGCGTTATGAGTCAGTGTAAAGGAAGAACACATGTGACAGATGTGTGAACACCACCAGATCAAATGTTAGTGCTGCTGCCAGTGAGGAAGCAGAGGCGTCGCTGTGTTTACCTCGCCGAGATGCGGACACTTTCTCTCCGGCACTGAGACGCAGCCGCGGATCGTGATGCTGCTCTGCGTCCTCAGTCCTCCCTGTCTGCCGTCCGTCTGCTCTCCTCTTCTGCGTTATCAAACGCTGGTACTGCGATGATGGGCCAGCCTCCAGCCCTCCCTGTCTTACTCCTGCTCGAATTTCTTCCTCCTCACAATGTCTTGCCTTTCTTTCGATCACCTTCTGGTCACTTCTCGCTACTGTCAAGTCTGCAGAAATACGGCAGCAACACTTCCGGTCCCCACAGCCGATAGATTTGATCTACTAACCCGGGACAACAACTTACATATTTACTGCCAAAGAACATAAGATACGTATTTTTCACAACAGAATCATTCCACTTGATGTCAGTTTGACTCAGGTGCTACTAACACTAACTACCTGCATGATGACCGCTAAATATGTTTTTCTTCTGCTATTTTTTTCAGCATACCGAGACAGTAAGAAAAACATTACCACCGTTTTTCTTTTAGCGATAGTTGGATGTGAAAGCAGGAACTGAGTGCTTTATAGTCTAGGTGAAGAAAAGGTTTCAGTGTTGGTCAGTGTGCAATAGAGTTGTTAAGCTTCATATTTTGTGATGGGTCTCCCTCATACGTTACAATTTACCCTAAGCTGTGTTATAACTAACCACAGCAATGAGGCAGGTTGAAACAGCTGAACTCCTTGTGTTTGATACCAATTCATTCAAGTAAAAACATTGTCACTTCCGCTGGAGAAATGGGGATATTGTCTCATCTGATAAATCTCATAAATAAACTAAATATATGTGTATATATATATCATATTTCAGACAAGCACAAACGTACATGGTGAACAGTTAAAAGCTGTGCCTCAGTAATACTGGTGCGTTTGACCTACATTATTTATTAGTTAATGTATTTTATTTTTTAATTTAGTGTGAAACGTGACACCAAACGTACAACAGGACACGGGGTGGAGACAAGGCGATGACAAGACAAAATAAAATACGCATATTTACATATTTCATCAAACTTTGTGAAATATATTCTTGAAATATATAAATTAGAACAAAAATATCAAAATGAAGATGTTGACTTTTGTCTTCATGTGTGCTGTATTTGATTTATAGCCACTATGATCCTCGCATATTTTTTTTAACTTTATTTGAAATTATAAAGCGAACAGTCAGTCATTCCAGTTCATTTAAAGCAAGTACAGCAAAACTAATGGCGTCAGACGGCTGGCCAAAAACTCTTATTTTGAAGACAAATTCAAGCTACTTCCGGTACTATTCGCTCTCTCGGTCCGTGAGCTTGACGCAGCTTCGCCATCTGTCAGATACAAAGGCGGCATTTTTTCTTTCCCTTTTGTTGCGGCGCTAGGCCGCCTACCAATGAAGCAGAGCGGCGGCAGGTGTTAGCGCCCATCCTCCCACCACACCCCGTTTCCCCGGGGACGAGGGGGAGAGAGGAAGCCCCCGAACAAGCCCCAGAACTGTATGTCGATACAGGGCTGATGTCATGCATACACACATGCATGACATCAGCCCTCTATCTGGCTTTTGGCAACAAACGTTTAAAGAGGTTAGCATTTAGTAGTTCTGTATTAAACATTTCTATTAAAATGTAATTAGTAATGTTGTTTAAGCTTCTGTTCGTTGCTGTCCAAACACAACGGCTAATTATTAGCAGTAATATAGATAACAAGTCAATAAGGAAAAAATATTTATCCATTCCACAATAGAACCGCTGTCATATGTTTTTACAGCTATATGGTTAAAAAATATGGTTCTAAGTCTGAAATTTAAAGCCATGTTGGTCCCTTAATCCAGGATTACATCTACTGCCAACAGGCTGAACTCTTCTGGCTGCAAAGACACGTCCGATTGTGTGGAAATCTTTGCAGAGATTGCCCAGCTCCTCACTTGGTCTATGACCTCACCAGACGCTTTCACAATGGGTTCATGGTCCCAGCTGCTGGCCTCAGCACTTCAGAACACTGGATTCAACACATACTGTGTTCAAGAGTGTTCCTTACAAAGAAAGGAACACTCTGTGTTTTTATGATAGCTTCATTTTAGTGGAGAGAGACAGAATATCAACCAGATATTCACAAAAACACATGTACACCCCGCATAAAGTAACAACATATTAGGTGGACACAGCACACAACCAATGTCAGATGCAGATAGATCGACAGACAGACAGACAGACAGACAGACAGACAGACAGACAGATAGATAGATAGATAGATAGATAGATAGATAGATAGACAGACAGACAGACAGACAGACAGACAGACAGACAGACAGACAGATAGATAGATAGATAGATAGATAGATAGATAGATAGACAGACAGACAGACAGACAGACAGACAGACAGACAGACAGACATATAGATAGATAGATAGATAGATAGATAGATAGATAGATAGATAGATAGATAGATAGATAGATAGATAGACAGACAGACAGACAGATAGATAGATAGATAGATAGATATATAGATAGACAGACAGACAGACAGACAGACAGATAGATAGATAGATAGATAGATAGATAGATAGATAGACAGACAGACAGACAGACAGACAGACAGACAGACAGACAGACAGACAGATAGATAGATAGATAGACAGACAGACAGACAGACAGACAGACAGACAGACAGACAGACAGACAGACAGACAGATAGATAGATAGATAGATAGATAGATAGACAGACAGACAGACAGACAGACAGACAGACAGACAGACAGACAGACAGACAGATAGATAGATAGATAGATAGATAGATAGACAGACAGACAGACAGACAGACAGACAGACAGACAGACAGACAGACAGATAGATAGATAGATAGATAGATAGATAGATAGATAGACAGACAGACAGACAGACAGACAGACAGACAGACAGACAGATAGATATATAGATATATAGATAGACAGACAGACAGACAGACAGACAGATAGATAGATCAATAGATAGATAGATAGATAGATAGATAGATAGACAGACAGACAGACAGACAGACAGACAGATAGATATATAGATATATAGATAGACAGACAGACAGACAGACAGACAGATAGATAGATCAATAGATAGATAGATAGATAGATAGATAGATAGATAGATAGATAGATAGATAGATAGATAGATAGATAGATAGATAGCCCTACATTGATTAGCCTAATCACCCAGTCTCCATGTTTTACAGTAAAGCTCAGTCCCGAGCAGACTGAGCTCTCCCCTAACACTTCACTGAGCCAGTGTGAGGAGCACAATCAATACTTCTGATGTTCAGGACAGCTGAAAGCCTGCTAAGAAATCTGAGCGGTGTTTTCATCCCTGAGTTGGAGCTGCCACCCGAGTGGCCTTCTGAAGGCAGATTCACCCACATATACTCAGAGAATGGGTGTGTTACAGATGACACGTACAGTTCCTTTTGTTTGGATTTAAACATTAGATGTGTACAAAATGTGTAAGAAATGTAAACATCCATAAAAAGCACAATGCACCTATGCTGCAGTTTAACATGTTATTGTCAAAAACGCCATCAAATAACTCAGTGTGTGCCCATCATACATGCTCTTAAAAACTTAATTAGTATATATTAGATTGTGTTCATTCTTGGCCTTGGTGCCATATTTGACTTCCTTACTATTATTTTTTACTGCTAGCATTTTTATGCCTCTATTGCTCCCATATTCATCTGACCATTTATTCAGAGTGTTGTTTGATTAATTGTTCACCTTCATCCCATGATGATTTCATATTCAAATGGCGGGTGTAGGTGGTTATCATCACCTGGATAGGTAATGTAATTAGGTAGGTTATTTGCCTACAGATAAAAGCCAAGCATTACTCCATATTTGGCTCTAAGAAAGGCACAGGGGTCATAAGCCAGCATGCTCCTAGCACAGGTCCTAAGCCTGGATAAACGAGGAGGGCATCGAGGACATTCAGCATAACATCTTTGCCAAATCAAACATACAGATCACCAAGAATCAGCATTCATACCAGATCGATCTGTGCCTGGGTCAACCATGACACCCTCCAGGGCTGGTGCCAACAGAGTGGAAACACTGGAAAAAAGGGATTGGCCATCTCGTGGATTTATGTAAGCATCTTGTGTCATGCTTTAAAGTTAAGTGTAACTATGTAGTGTAGAAACTACATGATATGCAGAGAGGGTAGATTAAATTATTCATATCGTGCTCGAGTGAAGTAAGTACGGTGGCCCTGAGAGGCCAAACAGACAGCAACTTCAGAAAACACTTGCAAAAAGAAAAATGCTGCAAAAGCACACAAGACACAATGGAAATGTTTCTGGGGAGACGATAACCAGACGGACCAGTTGCACGAACCAAGGAACTGGGAGACACTTCAAAGGAGTGAAGGAGAGGTAAATGTGTTGTAATTTCATGATTCTTATCATACTACAGATATGTTTGCAGTGTTGGGGAGTAACAGAGTACATGAACCGCCGTCACGTATTTAAAATATAAAACATGAGTAACTGTATTCCGTTACAGTTACCGTTTAAAAAGGTGGTAATCAGAATACAGTTACTTTGATGAAATAAATGGATTACACGGCGGTCTTTTCCTGTTACATATGTTAGGCTGTCCCCTCTCTGTTTTTGGTTTCCACGCCGGTGGAAACCCAAACAAAACACGCATTCAGAGGCTCTGATGTCTGTGTCTCAGTCTCGCGGCCCATGTTACCTCTACTTGCGGCCGCATAGTGACGTGAAGAAATATTTTCAATAATTATTATTTAAAAAATGATTTAATATGAAGGCAACAGGAAGTGTTACAGGCATCGCCTTAAAGCATGCAGCCTGATGGGCAGTGTAGTCCGTGCTGCAGGGAGAATGGACTGCTGTACCCGTGATGTGTCTGTGAGGAGGGAGAGAAAGGAAAAGTAGGAGCTGTCACCAGGCAGAAACGGGAGCTGGAAGCATGTAAATATAATAATAACCACTGCAGCCAAACAGAGAGCCTGACGAGCCCAGCTGTAAGTAAGCTGTTAAGACTCGACTGTATCTGTGTTCGTGTTTTCCTCTGAAACAATAAGTTCTGTTGGAGCAGCCTTTCGACGCCTCTCTCTGTCTCTGCTAGCAAAGTGACCCAGACAACAAAGTAAAGCTAGTTTTCAGCTACGAGCCGACACGAACCCGACGTATTAGCCAGAGGTCCCTTTACTACGGCTCGGAGCCGCTGACCTGTTTTATA